GTACAATTGGCATAATTGAGAGTTTCAAACTAAGTTTGGTTTCAATGCCTTCATTAATTAGATGCAAAAGATGAAATAACCAGGTTGGAGTGGCTCTCAACTAGGGCCAAACGAAACATATAATGCGCAAGGAAAATTTCCATTTCCATGACTCAAAGAATCAAGATCCTGATGCCTGTCAGATAAACTGTAATTTAATTAACATTAATTTCTTAATTTCCTTCAAAAAGTTTCAAATTAGAACCTCTTTTGCGTGACTAAAGAAAATAACAAATCCTTGGTGGCTCAGCCCAAGGCCAAGATCCAGAATTTAATGGTATTGTTTAGATAGAATCAAGTGGGTCCAAGTGATAAAGGCTCGGAATCATAATGATTTTGTGAGGTTTGGTGATGCAGTCCTGATGTCAAAACTCATTTATTTCTTAATTACTTTTTCTGTTCACATTTATTTAGTCATCCTAGCATCATCATGACATGGCTTCATAAAAACTTTCATTGTCGTTGGATTTGAAATTTAAGTCACTCATCAGTTAGAATAGAATAAATAAAGCGATTGTCGAAGGTGACAAGAGTACACCACCTCATTCATGAATGCACCCGTGTCCGGGTGCGGAAAAGGATTGATTTTTACACTCACTCGTTTCAGTACTCTTGCAATGACTTCCACTTTCCCTTCCCATCAAAGATTGCCAGATTGTTGGCTGTAGAAACCACAACTGATTTTTGCCAAGAGATTCAAGGCAAATTTTTGCACCATCTGTTTATTTGTTTATATGGCATGAGAGAACTTCATTCCAACTTTTACTATGTTGTTCTCTAAAATTTCATCCTTAATAAATCATGTTTTTTTTTTTTTTCTCAAGATAAAGGTATGGACCGTTTAGAAGCATCTTCAATACTCTCTTTATATTAAGATTTTTCTTTATAATAAAGAGATTTTATCCAAATTTCATCTTCAATGCTCTCTCTATCATAATCCTTATCTTTAAAATTGAGATACCGAGTGTGTTTGAGTCTCCAATACTTAGAAAATCAAAAAGATTCTTTATCTTATATTTTATTAATGAAAATTATTATTTATTATGTCATCTCGATCTCTTCACCGATAGTCTTTATGAGTTTTATGAATTTTATCAAAATAAAAAGTTAAAATAAAAAATAACATTAGAAAAAATATTGATCTTCAATCTATATAATTAATAACGCTCTCTATTGACATTAAGAATATTTATTAAAAATAAAAAGCAACATTATAGATATTCTTACGTACGTGTTATAGCGAGCAGAGACTAGAAGTCTTTTATAATCCTTAAGTTCACATGCAGGGACCGCAGACGCAATTAACACATCCTTCAAAAAGAACGATGAAAATACAATTCAGTTCGCATGCTCATCTTTAATTTTTTTCTTCCCATGTACAATTAAATTCAAATGATTCTTGCCTCTCTTTTGACATGCATGTCCAATAATGTCATTAGAAATTGCGATTCGTGAAAAAAATAAAATAAAATAATAGCTGGTCTTCCTCGAACGGGATGAGTTACATAATTTTTTTGAGATACTTTTCTTAAAGATGCTATTAAATTAATTAATCAAATTATTATTCTTATTATTTAAAAAAAAAACTACCCATACATCATCCACAAATATTTATTGCATAATAATCATTGATAATTAGTAAAGAATGTAATAGAGGATACATTGGTAATCATTTAAAAAAAAATGACGAGAATAACGATTTGGTTAATGAATTTAAAATATATATATTTTTAATATAGTCTTTATACTTTATTTATTTATTATGTTTATTATATTGTTTTTAATAAAATTGCGTTTAATTTTCTTTAAACAATGACATTCACATTCCATAAAAATGTAATGTGAAACGACAAATTATATGAAATTGACGAGTCATAAAAGAAAATCTTTTTATAACTAAAAATTTATTTTATTTATTTATTTATTATTATTTTTTTTTTACCACATCTCAATTTCATATGGCCTGTCATCCCGTGTAATACTTTTATTCGACATAATTTATCGTTCATCATTAATTGTCCATAAAATTGAATATATATATATATATATATAAAATAAAAAACATAACAATTAAAAAAAAGTAAAGAAGTCGAAAAAAATAAAAAATAAAACAAAGAATTATGCCATTAAATCTCGTCTATCGTGTGGGTCAAAGGTCATAAAATCAACTCGTTCTTTGCAAAAGAAAGATAGCTCGAAACTCCTTAATTTATATTTTGTTTTATTTTATCTAATAAAAAATTTCCGGCACAAGCGTAAAATAATATCCTTTCTATTCCTTTCACCTTTTGTTCGCAAAAATATTGTTGAGCTTGAACATGTTATTTATAGAAAACAATATTTGTAGCATGTTTTTCGACAAGGGAAACTTGAAAAATACTTCCATATATAAATCCATTTATTTTTCACAAAAATCGGATTCAATTTTTTTCTACATGTAGTTGCTGTTTTCATTTGCATGAACAACTTTATACTCGGTTTTTTAATATACAGTACTTATAATGCTTCATTTTTTTTCACTCTAAGAGTTTAAGCTGAAACCCTTAAAACGGTAAATTACCCAATGCCCATCATTAGGTTTTTTTTTTTTTTTTTTTTTTTTTTTTTTTATCATCATCATTAGGTTAATTTGTTAAAGAAACTATTCGAATCCCAATTTTCTCCCCCTTTAAGCGGAATATATGTTTTTTGATCATCTCAATCTCTCTCTTTCAAATGAATAGACAAGCCAACTGCTGCCCGGCAAAAGGGTTGGCATCTTCTTCCAAGTAATAAGGGAGAAATTTCTACTTCTTGTTTATTATATCGGAATCCTGAAACAAACCTTAATTATGCTTTAGACAAAGCAACAAAAGCTAGAATAGTGAAAGTGAAAGCTGGGAGGGACTAGGAGCATAATGTATGCTTGAGTTGAGGGACCCTTTCCAAAGTGATCTATATATTTAGGTATTGTTTAATAATAAGGAATGAAGTAACGCGAATGACAATAAAAGTTTTATTTTCACATTTTAGTTATTTGGATAAAAAGAATGAAGTGAGAATGAGAATGAAAATAAAAATTTCACATAACTTCATTCTCATTTAAAACGTGGTAATTAAAATCAAGAATAAGAATGAATTTTTTTTTAAATAATAATATATTTTATTTATTTATTTTATATTAACTATTTCTACCACTATCACCACCACACAATAACCAATACCACCTTTATTATCTTTATTATTTTTACAACTATTATAGTTTGATAAAATTAATTTTTAATTTTATTCTCACATTTTAGTTGTTTGGATAAAATGAATGAAGTGAGAATGAGAATGAAAGTGACAATAATAGTTTGATAAAATTATTTTTTAATTATTATTTTTATTTATATAAAAAATAAATATTAAAAAATTTAAATCATATTTCGATTCTTAATTAATATTGCAAATACAATATGAAAATATAAATATCATTTTAATTTTTTAATTTTTATTTTAATTCTTATATTCTAATTTCAGATCTTTTATTACTTGTAACCAAACCATACTTTAGCGTTACATCCAAAGTGACTTCACAAATTTGAAAGATATCAATTGTTTGGTGAACAATATTTAAGAAAAAAATGTCTTTAGGTGATAGGGGCTACTATAGGATAGGATTCCGTGAGAAGGCTCTGGTTCATTAAGTCAGACCATGACAAACACATCTTCAAGAAATCTCCTAATTAACTTTTGATAATTTTTTTAATTTTTTTTTCGGTTGCATTTACAGATTAATTTTAGCATCACAGAGAATAGATTTATTATTTTTTAAATTATACCAACATTGGATTACATTTAATTTTTAATCGAGATTTTTTTAGTTTATCACTGGCTCATGTTCAATACAACCAACAAAAGAAAGAGTTTTCTAATAATAAAAATCTAACCTTGACTTGATAAATAGATACATTTTTCTACAAGCGCGACTAACTTTGATAATGTTGCAGTATCAAATATATAACTTTTTCCAGAGATTTTTTACTTGTGTCATAAGAAGTTCAATAAACTATCAAGTAAAAACAAAAGCAGGTTTGATGGGAGTCTCGATCATTGTGATAAGCTCCACTATCAGTCACCTACGACGAATCGTAAGCTACCATATCTTTGCGAGATTTGTTTCCTTTTTCTTTTTTTTCCTTCTCGAAACACCCTCCGATCCGCCACCTCCATTCTCCACAGGATCACTCCTGCGTTAGAACTCTTCGTCCAACATTCGCGAGACACACTACTTTAATGCACACTATAGTTAGGCTCAACAATGGTCCCTCCTTTCACAAATTATTTATACTCTTGTTTGTTAAGAGGGATTAGATGAAGAATGAAACCGAATTATTAACCTTCAATTCTCTCAATTGAATAGAGTGATTTTTATCATTTTCCTTCCTGTTACCTTTCCACTTTACCGTCTATTATTCTTCCTATCCATCCATCCCTCATGACAAACATGAATATTCTTAGGAATTCATATGAAAACACAGAGAACGATGCACCCCTTGACTTGATCATCCAAAAGATTGTAGAATGTACTTGCGTAGCCCAGAAACATTAGCAATGACACTTACATAGTCAGCTCACGTAACCCAAAAAATATATATTACGATAAGAAAAAAGTACTGAGATTTGAGAATGGAAGAAAAGCAGAAAGACAGAGGATATTAAAAACTATGAATTCCTTTTCCTTTCAATACACATAAATACCATAAAATTACACCCCAACTCAGGACGAGGGAGAAAAATGGAACCCAAATCAATCTGTACGTACTAATATACTAAGCAATGACAAGTGATGAAGCCAAACCATTATACAAAGATAACTGAAAGAGGAGTTAAAAAGAGATGTATATCACACTAGCATCTCCTACAGCTAGTGAGGGGGTTCGATGTAGGATATTACAAAATGATGGTCTCTGCTATTGAAACCGGTAAAAATCAGTCCATCATGCAGCGAATGGCTGTTGCCTGCCTTGTCCATTGTATCCGTCATACGGCTTGGTGGACTTGCTCTTCCTCCTCAAAACTACAATCCAAGTGATTAATTCTAGCAATGCAGCAATTCCACCCAAGACTGCAATCACAATTATGTAAATCGTTTTCCATTTATCTTCGTGCTGAAACAACATATTTAGACCTTTAAATACATTCAAGATGCCAAGGATGAGTATGGCATATCCAACGCCATGATGGTAGATATTCCAGTAGAATCGGTATTTGTGGTCCTTCTTCGGCCTCAAGAACAGAGCAAATATCTGAAAATTCCAAACAAAGAGTTGCTATCAGAATAAATGAATCCAAAATTAAAATTAACAACTCGGAACAAAACCAGTTGCCATATTACAATGCCAGTAAGACAGCCAGCCAGAAGATGGACAGGAACAACTATAGGAAAAGGCACCCTCTTCTTTTTCATATGCCCTTTGGGTTTTAATATGGCCTACCATGGGAAAAAAGCTACTCCAGAAGTAACAAATTTGTCAACTTCAATCTATTGGACGTACTTATAATAATTCAGTACATTGCAAGAAACCGTAACTAGGATTTAAACAGGACAAGAAAAATTAATAAGCTTAGAGGAAAAAAAAATTACTGGTGATACAGACACCAATATGAAAATGAAAGGTCAAATTCAAATCTCCTCTTCCCTTTCACAAGGATAAAAAGAGCAACTTGTAATGAAACAAGAACACAATTGGAAAGGAAATTACCTGCAATGTTGCAAGAGCGAATAGCGAAATCCCAATGTTGCGATGACCAGTAAACTTAACTACCTTGGATTCATTTCCAAGCTTTATACCAGTTGCCCACCCGGCAACCCCAATAGCATAAGCGGAGACCTGACAAGAAACATGAAGGTAAAACCATGCAGGATCTGCAGACTGGAAAGTCCTCAGATACCTTGCTATTATAATTCCAAGTGGAAACAGGATTCCCCAGCTCACAGCATTCAGTATCCCATGAATCTGAAAAAAAGAATAAAACAACATAATATATATTTCAATGTTGTTTATTGTTCCGAAACGGTGTCTCTAAAACGATTAACTTGATCGTCACATTCCAATTCTACAACCAGAAATCACCCCGTTTATTCTTGTTCTTTTTTTAAAAAAAAAAAAAAAAAAAAACAAGCACTAGACAAGACACAAACACCAATTAACCATGATTTTTTCTTTTCAAAGAAAAACTTCTATCCATAAAAATTCCCTTATGGACTAAAACACATGCAATCATCTATCTCTTCCCAGACAAAATTCAAAGCAGTAAATAAACAATTGGAATATAAATAAATAAATAAATAATTCCTTTGAGAAACAAAAAAGATTGCCTATTTAGTTGTTGTTTTTCAAAACCCGGAAAAGGTCCAAAAAAGATGTTATTTTAAAAAATAATAATAATAACAAAAAATGAAAAAAGAAAAGCTCACGTTTTTCCTTTTCGTCCTGGAATCCACACCACCACCAGTGCTGACACTGTGTCCTCCATTCAAATCCAAAGTCCCTTTAGCATTCAAATTAGGACCACCCATCTCATGCGGTGTCAACACGCTCTTAGCAGCATCCACGCTTGGCCCCACTTGCCACACATGATTCACCGTCCCCTTCGCCGCCAACTCAGCCGGTACCTTAATCTTGGCAAATATCCTCATCACCCCTCTCTCCTCTTCGGCGCGCGTGTCCCACACATCAAAAGCCAGCTTCGACTGCACCACCGAATCAAGCGTGTACGAGCTGATATTATAGGTCTTGACGGTCATAACACCCCTGGAGTCCTTGAACGCCACCAGTGCCTGGGCCCCACCCATGGCTGGAACCTTGGGATTTATAGCCCATGCAACCCATCCGTTGGCTTTTGAAGGAGAAGCAAAGAAGGCGACTGAGAGAGTTGCGTTTGTGGAATTGTAGGTGAAATGAAGGTAGGAGGTGAGTGTAGGGAGGTCTAAACAGTTGGCGTATAACTTGTTGTTCGTGAAAGTCTGTTTTGCGCATGTCTGTGAATTTACCGGTAAGATTAGAGAAATAGAAACACAAACACTTAGGATCAAAGCAGAACTTCGAAACGAACGAGCCATTTTTGAATGCTAAAAGAAATCTGGAGAGAAGAAGAAGAATGTGACTGCTAAAGTTTTGGCGCAATATATAGAAAGGAAAGAAAGAAAAAAACCAAAAAAAGGACCAAAAAAGACGTGACTTCAATTTATCAAAAAATGACCAAAAAAAGAAAAGAAAAGGGTCTCAGGGTCCTGATGGGAGTAACCGAAAAAAAATGTAGTAGTAATTATTGTTATTTAAATTATTAAACAGCATGTGAGTAATAATTTTTTTATTTTTTTATTTTATGTAGGAGGCATGTGATGGGAGTCATGATTTAAGTGGGCGAGTGGGTGTTTTTCCCTTGTTTGAGATCAGTGGTGACACGTGGACTTTCGGATCCCCATAATGGAGTAAATTATAAATTAATCCCCCGTTTTTAAAAATGAATTCAATGGACTCTTTAGTTTTAAAAACTAATTATTAATTTATTATTACTTTTTTCAAAAATATATTCGCTTCTCATTATTATTTTTATATTATTTAATTTTTTATTTTTTCTATTTTTAAAACATAAAAAACATAAAAAACATAAAATGCTAATTAATTAGTTTTAAAAAATGGAAGAATTATATCATTCATGTTTTAAAACTAAAAGGACTAATCTATAATTTACTCCCTGTAATGAGGAGATCGTGGATTATTATAGGGATGGCAGACAGAAAGAGTACCCAAATAAAGCTAGATTTTACAGCTGGTTCGTGAACTCCTAGACTTCCACAAAACTTCTTCGATACCCGATTCCCCGCTAAGTTCATTCGAAATTGTTTGACCCATCCTAATTTTACCCTGATACATTGTATAAAACTAACGCTATAACACGTGGAAAATTTTTGAAAAAAAATTAATTTTTAGGTATAAAAAACAGCCCTGCTATTCTTTCCCTTCTCTATTTCGATCTAATCCACCTACAAAACCGTTGACTCTTCTTCTTATCTCTCCAAACCCTAAAACCACCTCCAATTCTTCTTCTTCTTCTCATCTCTCCATACCCTAAAACTCTTTCATGTCATAATTGTTGTCTTAAATTAACTACCAAGACACACAGGCCTACATTTTTTTTTTTTTTTGCTTTATTTTTTTCTACAAGCTTATGTTTAATTTTATTATTATTATTAAATTGGGTCCACATATTATGAAAAATCAATCAATAGTTTTTTTTTTTTTTGCTCGAGTTAACGATTATAAAATATATATGATATATTTTCAAATTTTATTACGAACATATATATCGAATTATATTATTTTTATTGTTTAAAATTGATCTGTTCAATTTGTTATTTCTTATAAAAAATCTCATCAAATTAATTTTTAATTTTTATAAAATTTTATTTATTAATAAATATGATTTATTTCTCCATATACAATTTTTTGAATTTTTTATCTCGCTTATTCTTTATATAATAAAATTTAAAAAATAGAATTCACCTATTTTTCTTGCTTATCATTTATATAATCAAATTTTATTCAAATTATATTTATAATTGTTTTTATTACACTCTATTAACTTCAATATATTTTTTATAGTTTATTTTTTAAAAAATATTTTTTGATTTATGTTACACATTTTGCCCTACCGAGTATAGTCATGGTGTATAAAAAAAATTAGATCTTTAATTTTTATAGAAAATTAACTATTCATCAACATATATAATACCAACCATTTGCTATAATTTTTTAATATTTTAAAATTAGAATATTTTAAATAAAATAACTAAAATAATATTTTACAAGAACTACCTAATAATTCAAATACAACTTTATATATATATATATATATATATATTAAATGTACATATATTTTAAAAAAATTAATCTTTTTATGAGTATTAAACAGGAATAAAAAAAGATTCACTTTTTTTAATTTTTTATACAAGTTTTTAAAATTAATTATTGCTTTATTTCTTCGATATAATGATATGAAGAAATTATTAAGATATTTTTAAAATTTTATATTTAAATTATTATAGTTTTTTATTTAAGAAAAATACGTAAGAAAGAACAAATTGTGTTTTTTTTTAAGTACATAATTTGTTAAAAATGTTAAAAAAAAATAAAATACAAAATTTTGATTAAAAACCATAAAATTATTTAAAATTTTATTTTTTACATTTAATTTAATATATTTTAGTTGACCATCAACATAGTACATATTATTAAACTAAAATAAATATATTTAATTTGGCTTGCGACATAACATGGAAAGCCGACTAGTAATTATGCTATTTCGAGTTACAAAATACTAAATATTTTTATGTTTAAATAGTTCAATACGTATCTATATTTTAAATTGTATTTATTACATTTTTGAATAATATTTAAGTTTTTAATTTGTTATTTTGATCAATTTTTTGACCATGAATAATTTTTTTTATCGAAATGTCTTTGACTGAAATGCAAAAAAAAAAAAAAAAAAAGACTCTAAGTATTATTATTATTATTATTATTATTATTATATATATATATATATATATATATATATATATATATATATATATATTTGCATTGCAATCAAGGATATTTCAATTAAATAATTTGTTCATGATTGAAAAAATTAAACGGAATGACATATTGAAGACTTAAATATTATTCGAAACATGATAAATATAATTAAAAATATAGAGATAGATTGGAGATTCAGGTTATTAGATAAGAATAAATTGAGCTATTTATCCTATTTTTATTTTTTTTCGTGATAATCTACTTTATCATTTACTAATTATTTTGTAATTATATTAGTTATTAATATTATGATATAAATTCTACTCAAAAGATATATTGTTACCTTATTAAAAAAATAAATATTATGTACTCTATAACAAGTAAGTGATTACAAATGTTTAAATATATTCACTTACTGAATTGTAGCAAATTATCTTTATATATATATAATTTAGTTAATTATTCTGTAATTATGATAGTTATGAAAAATCAAGTGTAATTTCAATAAAAAAAATTACCATTACTTCATAGAAGAAAAAAGTATTTGAGTCATAAAAAAAAACCATTTTCAAATAACTATAAACTAATAAGTATCTAAACTTATGGCATCGTAAATATCATTTTATTATTTTTAATTTTTAAAATACTATAATTATAATGCTTTGAAATAACTATACGAAACCGCCACACCAGCATAGGATCCATTAAGATTGGAGAAGTGAAAAATACTTTTGTTTGGTGATTTATTATCTAATCAAATTTGCATAAAAAAGAAAAACACTTATAATTCAAAATGAATTTAACCTCAGAAACGTGCATATGCACAGCGCAATCCGTGGTGTTTTTCGTCATCACGATTTTAGGAGAGGCTTGATGGCGGTCGGTTCATCGTGTCACCTAAAACGAAGGCAATAGCCCGTACTTTTGTTAACAACCTTATATATATTTTTTTAATGCCAAATAAACCTCCATTAATCCATATCTCAGGCCTTAGAAATTGGATCATTAGGCTCTATGAGAGTTTGATTGATCGAGTCTCTGTACTATTGATTTGATTAACGAGATCTCTTTACATTTTGTTTTTTATATTCTCGATCAACGATAACCTTAATAGTAATTTATTGTCACACTAATAGAGTGACTGGTGTTTATTTAAAATTAACAAAATGAAAAAATGAAATCATTTTTAATATAATTTTCATAATATTTCATGATTTCTCGTTTTTTAGCAATTAAAATAAATAAATTACAATTTTTTTTATGTTTTTTATGTTTTTTTTTTTTTTTTTTTTACCTTTTTAGACATTTTTTCCATTTTTAAATGCACACATGTCACACGGCCAGCACAGCAAATCAGTCTTTACCCTATTATAGATTGATGGTCTTGATTATAAACAAAATGTACAAATAGACTAGTAGAGGGACCTATTTAATTAAACTCTTATAGTAAAAAGATCATGAACGTAATAAATCACCGCAAGTTGTTATTTCCACTCTGTTTTTATTTACAATGACCTACTTAATCTTTTCGTGATTGTTTATGAAATATTGACATCCATATCTTGAGCCCCGCTACAAATCTACAATGGTCTTTATTTTTTGAATGAATACAACAGATTATAAATTTGATAATTACTTTTAGAATAACATAAAATTTATTAGTTGGCTTGATAGTTAAGTTGATATGTTTTTTGACTTCTTAAGTTTAAATTTTAAAATCATTACTCAAATAAATTAATTATATATTTTTTTGAATATACTCAATGTTAAATTATAAAAATTGAAGTATATGTGATCTACAATTTAGTATGTTAAGCAAATGCATTAGTCTAATTATCTAGGCTCGAAAGGTTTTTTTTTTAATAATTTTAATTATCTATATTATAAATATGGATAATATCTCTTATATTTATAACTAATTAAAAATCTAATAAGAATTTTTAATTCAGTCACAAAGAAGATATATTTGTTGAGTTAAGCAAATTTTATATCGTGTAATTATCTATTGTCATTCTATTTTATTTTTTTACATGATTTGTTTTCTATCCCACTAAATCAATGTAAAAGATGCAACTTTTAACAAGAAAAACTTAATTTCAACTAACATGCAATCTAAATCAAGAATATCCTTTCCATTTAAGGAAAAAAGAAGTAGTAGCAAAATTAGTAGATATTCCTTTTGCTTGTGAAGTCTGGAAATCCTAAATTAGAATAGAGATTGAGGCACTCGTCTACTTCAATTACTCTTGTTGATTCAACACTTTTCTTTTTTCTTTCTTAAAGAAATTGAGAATTATTCTTTCTTTTCCTGTGTCTTTAGATTTTTACAATCAAACCTACCCAGTAATGTTGAGATTTAGAGTTAAGGATTCTTATGTATTATATAATCATAATTTTTTTTATATAAAAATATTAAGTTCGTTTTTATCTATTCTAAAAAAGTGGAAAGTGAGTAATAATTTATGAAGAGGGAATCATAGCAGTGCCACCCCCACACCAGTATGAAATTCATCGACTTCTGTGACTGGATATAAAATTCCAACTTCCTCACAAAGGGCGGACATACATTAACTACCGTATTTAATTTCTCCAAGCCCACGAGACCGGCTCAATTATTTCCATCTCGTGCTCCTTCTATTCTAAATAAATTTATTTATATTATTATTTATTACTAATAAACTAAGAGGTGATGTTTGTCGACAGTGAAAATACTGTTCATCCTCTTATCATGTACTGTTCACTCATGTGGGTTTTTTTTTTTGTCCTTCAAATTTTTATCCCCAATTAATGCATTAAATGCCTTTTTTTTCCTTTGCTTTGTTTCATCATTTTATGTTCTTTTTTTTTTTTTAATTGGATTTTACCCTCATAATGTATTATTCACTCTTAGATATTTTTTTTATATATAAATTTTAAATTATTTCATTTTAATCTCTAAAATTTTAAAGTCTTTGAACAGTGAAAATACTGTTCACTCACTCACAATGTACTGTTCACTCATGTTTTTTTCTTCTTTTTTGTAATTTTGTTTTGGTCCTTCAAATTTTAATCCACAATTAATGCATTACATGCCTTTTTTTTTCCTTTGGTTTTTTTTTATTTGCTTTTTTCCATCATTTTATGTTCTTTTTTTTATTTAATTGGGTGTTACCCTCATAATGTACTATTCACTCTTAGGTATTTTTTAGAATTTTTAAATTATTTCATTTTGATCCCTAAATTAAAATTTTAATCCTTAGCTCATGCACTACATGCCTTTTTTTTTCTTTGCTTGTTTTCATCAATTTATGTTCTTTTTTTTTTTAATTAGATGTTAAAATTTTTAAAAATTAATCGTCATTTTTTTCTACACAAACTTACAATTATATATATATATATATATATATATATATATATATATATTATCTTTTTATTTTTTAAAATTAACATTTGTTTCAACTTATATTACTTTTATTATTTAAATTTTATTATTTTTTATAAAAATTCTCATCCAATTAATATTTTTATATATAAATTTATTTATTGATAAATATAATTTATTTTACTCTATGTTTGAATTTTAGAATAAAATCATAAAACATGATTTTTTTTCTTTTTTAAAAAATAAATTGATATAATACATATCATGAATTCTTAGAATTTTTAAAAATTTTATGAAATGATTTTGTTCTGCTAGACCGCGGCGTAGTGTGGACAACCATCTAGTACTATATACTAAAAGAAAATCATTTTCACCGTAGCAATGAACAATATTATTCACTTGTTCATTTCTATAGTGCTTGGTTTTTTTTTTTTTTTTTGGCCGAAGCTGGCCTTCTTTCCTCTCTTTTTTTTTTCGTTTACTTGTTTATATGAACAGTAAATGAATTCCCCTCTCTCCTTTTTTTTTTCCTTTCTAAATACTGAACTTTTTTTTTTAATTTCCGTCCGTTTACTTGTTCACATGAACAATAAATGCTGGCCCCTATTTTTTTCTTTAAAAATTAATTTTTTTAAAAATTTTTGTTTCTTATTAATGTTGGGTGTTAAAATTTTAAAGAAACCAATAAATTATTTTCTTTATTATTTATTTTTAAAATTTGAAAACACAAATAAAAAATAGTTAAATACAAAATTTTTGATTAAAAAATTATAATTATTTTTTATCATAAAACATATTATTAAATTGAAATAATTTTTCTAAATGATTTTATATATTTTATCTAACCCGCAGCGTAGCGCGGGTCAAAAATCTAGTTTATATCTATATCAAAATATTTATTTAGTTAAAATTTTAAATAATGTATTTTCTAAAAATATCTTTAATTAAAATTTATTTTTATTTAAATTACTACGTATTTTAAAAAATACAAACAAAAACAATTAAACTCGTAAAATAAAAAAAAAGGGACGAAACTTCTTTTACCACTAAGCTAAGCTATCTTCTGAAATTATCTGGAAAAATGAAAACATCTTAAATCCAAGGAATAAAGCAAGGAAAACTTTCTTTTTTCATCATGATTAAAGGTAAATGAGTTTTGGCGAATTCCTACCACACGCGAACAATAATGGCAAACAAAAAGGAAGAATCAAATTCCACCGAGACAAAAGTTCTTATTCTCTCCTAAATATACTTTCTATAACACTCACAAATCCTACCACGTAAAACGTACATTAAAAAGAAACAGAGAAAAAAAAATACCAAAACTAGAAATGTATAAAACTAGCAAGAAGAACAAACACAGCAAAATGGAAACCCACACTCATCTCCTTAATACTATAACCTCTACTATGACCGCCAGCAGTGGTAGTATTTGAAGAAGTAGTTGCCGTGTTGCCACCAGCTGGAGGGGTAGCAGCAGCCTTACCAGTTCTTTGTGCAGTCGCCAACTCTAAAGTTGCTTTGGCATCCTTGTTTCCTTGCGCAAACTCATGCTTGACAGGCCTCCCATTAGTCACAGCAGAACCCACTTGCCAAATATGATTCAAAGACTCAGCCTTTACAGGCACATTAACTGATGCATAGATGATAAATTGACCACTTGTTGCATTAGACTCAGCACTCAAGTCCCAGACATCAAAAGACAGTTTCTCCTCCTTGATATCGTTGTATGATACGAGGTTGTACGTCTTGACCTCTGGTGCACCCTTGCTGGACTTTAAAGCTAAAATGACCTGGGCCCCAGCCATGCCGGTGCCGTTGGGATTGATGCCCCACCCGATCCAGCCATCGGCTTTTGCTGGAGGAGCGATGAAGGCGATTGAGAGAGAGGAATTGGAGGAATTGTAGGTGTAGTGTAGGTATGAATCTAGGGTGGGTAGGTCAGTGCAGTTTGCGTAAAGTTTGTTGTTGGTGAATTTTTGTGAGGTGCAGGTTAGTGAATGCGTAGGCGAGATTAGCAGAATAAAGAGGGAAAGTGATAGAAAGAGAGCATAAAAGGAGAGTGAAGCCATTGTCAAAGGAATTCAAGGAGAGAGATTATGCTGGCTTGTGTGAGGTCTCTCCTACAGATTTTGAAGTATATATATATACAGACCGAAGTGAAAGTGAGGTGTGCTGCAATGCAGCTGCAGAGCATGCTATTTACAGTGTGCTTAGAGATTAATAGATGACACGTTACAGGGTGAGTGGATGGGATTGAACGCAGATTTATTGGAATGGTTAAGGCGAATTGTAGTGGTTGACTTTGGGGATTTCTCTGGACTTGCGTAGGGACCTTGAAGAAAGAGGAGAAGCAGGTCACGTGCAACATTTTAGGGGAAGACACGTGGGCGATGCAACAAGGGACCGTTAAAGGAGCAGTAAGAAGTGCTAGTGTTTGAATTTGGAAAAGGTAGGGGAGGTGATGGTCACACCGCCAAATTGTCCATTATACCCTTGCGAAAAGTTAATACTTTGCTGCATGTTTTATCTCTCATCAAAATAAAAAAGTTTATGATTTTTAAACAATTTTCCCGAAACGGCCACACGTGTTTGAAGGCACCATTTTTGGTCGACAAGTAATTTTGAACCAAAGACAAATCTACCGTACCACAACTTCATCATATTAAAAAAAAAAAAACAAATACTATAAAATTAATGGACTTTATCTTTCAACACCGTGGGAGTATGGTTAACTTTTGTTAGAGTGCCGATACCACCTCCCTTGGGAATTTAGTTCACCAACTTAGGTGAAATGCAGGACTTCCAATTTTTTATTTGTAATGGAAAAGGACTATTCGAAAATCGGTTGAACGGTCTGGTTGGGACACACTTGAAATGAGATTTTAAATGTTCAACAATGTCATACTTAAAATGAGAGAAGAAAATATACCATTTGGCCTATTTGTATGAACAGACTGAAATCTTAAAAAAAAAAAAAAAACCGGCAAGTAAAAATCTTTATAAATATTCTATATATTTCCAACTTTTGAAAATATTTTTTCCTGTAAAAAAAAAAAAAAAAGATTTTAAGAGGCCAACCAGAAAAGCAAAACCCTCCCTTTGGATATGAAAAAATAAATAAAACAAGAAGATTTGGTGCGCTGCACTAGAGCACAAACCGTGTGAACTTCACCAATAATGCAGAAATTTTGACTCAAGGTGGAAGTTGCAAAATGAGGTCAACATGAGTCCTTATCTCTTTATGTGTTTGGTGATGCAAAATGCATAATTTCTTTAAAATATGTTTAGATTGAAAAATATCAAATTAATAATTTTTTAAAAGTGTTTTTAATGTTCAAAAACCATCAAAAAAATACTTTAAAAATATATATCAAATTATGTCCAAACCTTTCATATTAAATTGATACATTTTCAGATTGAACACATTTTCAAACGAACTACAGATTCATTATCAAACACAAGTGTAGAGAGATGCTTGGCCTATTCCCATGTGATTTGTTTCCTAATATTGTTGTATCAATAACCTTAGAACTTGAATTGTTAATTAATTAACAAACTGGTGAAGCAATTGATTCTGTTTGATATTTAAGTTGGCTAATCTCGACAGACGACGCAAATAAATATATACATGTAGAATTGCGTGCTAGGAGTAGCATGTATGGAAGATTGCAGGTGCAGCGAATTAATATGAACAGAAAATCAGTTTCATTGTTCATTTTATCATACCTAAAATGTATCTATTGTTTTTTTTTCATTAATTTGCTTACGAAAAGCTTTACTCTACCATCTTCTCACAATTCAGCAAGTCGCAAATTATTATTATTTTTCTTTTATTTTACTCAAGTATTTTCCTTCTACGTTGGAGATAGAATTAATTTTATTTAAAATAAAAATAATAAAATTTAATTTTTATTAATAAATATTATTTCAAAATTTAAATTTTAAACATTAACATAAAAATCATTTGGAAAATCACTAACCACCGACGTGTTGGTAAATTTTAGTTTTTTAAATGTACTCCATATGTACGACTCGCACAGCCTTTAGAAGATACTTCATGATGCTACTAGTTATGAACCAACCGTGAGAACCGATACGACAGGTTTGGCTGAAGCATTTCTTCAAATTAAACCATTAAAAAAATATATATATACAACCCTAAAGGATGTGAAGATGTAACTGTTCATTCACTGTAACAGTAAATTTTTCTTTAGGGCTGGCTTCTTTATTTTATTATTATTGTTTTAAAGGCTTGGCTGTTGGAATTGTTCCTTCACTGCAGCATTCCTATTTCTCTTTTTTTCATTTCAGGGCTGATTTTTTTTTTTTTTTGACCGTTGGCAATTAAAAAAAGAAAAGAGGATTGGTTTTCAGCTTCTATATGTTCTCATATGTCAATTATTCCCTTTATATATAAATAATTTATTTAATATTTTTATCATGAAATTATATGTGAAAATATAAAAAAATCATTATTATTATTTTTTAGTTTTACGTATAATTTGACAAGTAATATAATATATATGATATTTTTTAAGATTTTAGTTTGAATATATATATATATATATATATATATATATATATATATATATATATATATATATATATATTATTTTTATTATTTAAAATTTATTATTTAATTGTTTGTTTCTTATTAAAATTCTCATCTAATTAATTTTTAAATTTTATATAATTTTATTTGTTAATAAATTTGATTTTTTTTATATATGGCTTTTGAAATAAAATTTTAGAACATGATTATTTTATTTTTTAAAATATGTTATTATAATTTATACAATTGATTATTTTTATGATTTTTAAATGAAAATAACGTTGTTGCATATATAAATCTTATGTGATAGAGAGAGAGTTAAAAGTGTATTTTAGATAATTTGACTTATTTTTTAAAAAATAATAATCAGTTAAAAAAATAATTTGACTTGGTTTTTTTATAAAAATTAATAATTAGTTAAACAATTCACAAGTTATATATATATATATCATTTTGTCATATATAAATTCCGATGAGGGGGAGAGAGAGAGAGAGAGAGAGACAGACTAAAAGTGTGTTTTAGATAATTTGGCCTAATTTTTTTAAAAAATAATAATCGGTTAAAAAATTTAATTTGGCTCAATTTTTTTTTAAAAAATTAATAATTAGTTAAAAAAATTCACAGGTTTTATTTGGTTATATATATATATATATATATATATATATATATATATATATATATATATATATATATAATCGAATTTATCAAAACTAATTTTATGGTAATTTTTATTTAAATCTATTTACTTTGATATATTCCATGCGATTTAGGTGAGTTTTTTATATATTTATTTATTTATTTTTTATACTCTAAATATACTAATTACGATATATACGAGTTTTGTTAGAAATTAATTACATCTCCACACATAACATCAATCATTTATTATATATTTTTTTTACGTTCTAAAATCTGTATTTTTAAATAAAATAATTTAATTAATGTTTTGAAAGAATCTCTTAATTATTCAAAAATAAATTTGTATACTAATATTATAATTTTTTTTAATAAATATATATAAATCAAACAAGTTTGCTCAATATATAGATTCGATTTATATTAATCTTCAAAAACAAGACATCTATTTGCATTATACCATACGAATCGTTAACCCCGTGTATACAATGATTATTTGACCGTAGCATAGTGCGAATATCTAATTAGTTCTTATCTAAACTAGGTGGTTAGTTATCTTGGTATATTAATTTGAACTCATCTAATCAATGAGCTGTAATTTAATAAATATTATTGGTGTCTTTTTTATTTTTTAGCTATAAGATTTTGATTTGGAACCTCTATTTTGTAATAATAATAAATACAAACCTTGAATTGATGTAATGTGAGAGTAAATTATAAATTAGCCTCTTTAGTTTTAAGAAATAGATTCATTAATCTTTTGTTTAAAAAATTAATTATTTAGTTTTTTATCGGTGTTATTATATTAAATTTAATATTATTTTATTTCAAAATAATTATTTTCTTTTCTCATGAATCTTTTTATATTATCTATTTATTTTCTTAAAAAATAATAATTAGAAGAGAAAATAAATGGATAAAAAGAACTAAAAAATGTTATTTTTTTAAGGGACTAATTAATTTATTTTCTCAAACCTAAAAGGACTAATTTATAATTTACTCAATCTAAGGAACAATGTCATCGATGTGGAACAACGTGGCAATAGACACCTCACGCCTGACGCACGTCTTCTCGTTCTCAAGAGCTCTCTGATAACAAAATTCCAGCAATTTCCAACGAATTTGGCTCTAATCATGCAGTGTTTGTTCTTTTTATTTGCTCACAAATGTGTGGAAATGTTAGTATACGTGCAGAAGAACATACGTACGTGTGATTGAAATAGTTATTTAATCACCATCAAGTTCTTGGGATTTCGAATTTGTGAAGCATCTGGATCGGATAATAATGTGATTTTATAGCATTCATTACATAATGTGCTAGCCACTTCTCCGTATTATAACGAGGATACACAGAATGAAATTATTTTAAAATTTTAAAATTTTTAATTAAAATTTTTTTATTTAATTAAGCTTTTAATATTTTTCATAAATTTTCTACTTAAAAAAACACAATTCTCTTTTTTTGTTAGGGATTGATTTTAAAATAAAAATTTACAATAATTTTAATTGAAATATTAATCAAGAATTAAAACAAAAATTTTAAATATATATTTTTATAATATTATATTTCAAAAAATAAAATTATAATGAATCGATAGACTTTTATTCAAATTAATAAATGAAAAAATTATTCTTATTTAATATTGATGAGAAGATAAATTTTTGAAATTATTTACGCAATGTTACAGGTAGATAGAATAAAATTATTTCAAAATTTTATAATTATTTCATTAAATTTTTATTTAATTCTTACTATTTTTTTCATAAAATTTATGCTTAAAAAAACATGATTTATTATTTTTTATTCATGGATTCTTAAATTAAAACTTATAATAATTAAAACCCGAGATATTAAATAAGAATTCGAAATAAATACTTTA